TCTATATAAATGAATACAGGGGTCTATATAAATGAATACCCCTGTAACAGAAGAACACTTTTTTTCGGCGCGGAATTGGGTTAGGTAGACTCCAGGGGCAACCTCATCAACGAAAAGTTTGAACAGCTTTCTGAAGGCCAGGTTTCATAACGGGAATCCTCGACAGATAGATAGAGGTTATAATGACTGTTTTTGGTGTTTGGACGAGTTTTAAGGACGGGTACCGAGGAGAATAAGCTTCAGGAAGCTGATTTACTTTGGGAGCACTTACCGTGAAAACATGGGTATGTAAAATTCAGCCCCTACCCGCGAAGTTGATATCGTGTAGTGATCCGCAAACGCTATCGAGGTGTTCTTTGCTATTTTAGCCCGCTTCAAGCTATGCCTAGGAGAGTACTTACTGCCTGTGTTAGGCCAACAGAACTGGAGACGACCATGGGTGCAGAGGTTAAGAATATAACAGAAAGCCGCACTACCCCGCTGGTCCCCCAACCAAAACCGAGTTGGACTTTGCAAATTCACACATGCCTCAGAAGTGTGTGCTTGTGAGGAGTGGATGACTGGCGGACTGAGAGTCAGACTGCAGTGGCTAGTTCTTAATGTTACCCTTATAACACTCCCACCCCGTGGGATCCGAGCGAGGTGCGGCGGCACGCTTAGGAGCGGCTCTAGCTGCGCTCTCTTCGGCCTACGGTCTTCTTGAGTTGATCATTGCACAGGGCCCAAGTGGGGGGAAGAGCGAGAGTGTGGTAGATGCAACGCAAGTCCACCACTACCACTTAAAACTAATCTAAGCGTAAATCGCAGCGTTTGTCTTCAGCTTGCTGATGCACGCAGTGAACATCGTCAAAATCGATGCTCGAGCTGTCATGTTTTATTTGGCATCGCCAACCGGTAAAGGCGGTAACTGAAGTGTACCCGCTGCAATTAGGACAGGTATACTGAGTCAAAAACGACAGCTGGGAGCCAGGTGAGGCCACCGTGGAACAACCAACCTCGTGCAGATCGACATTTTGGGCGACAGGTCCTATCGGGGGCAACGGCCAGACAAGGATAACAAGAAAGACGGCGCGAACTCACCTGCATTTGAAGCCGGATCAGAAAGTAGCGCAGAATTGAGAAATCATTGTGCTCCACATTGTCCACCTCCACAGTGCCCCAGGGATAGGTGCGTGCACGGACCTTGGCCCCGGCACTGTTGGTGATGTAGGTGTTAGCGCCCACTACCGCAAAGGGCATGCGGTCTCGGAGGCGACGGAGACGTGACCCTTCTTCGTCACTACTGTTGTCTAAGAAAGCACGAGAAGGAAAGAACGTGGAGACAGTCAGACAGCCGCGACAACTATTGCATGGGAGTAGAGAGCACACCCGCAAGTCAGTCGTGGGGGGTCTGGCAACTCATTATCGATTGTGGTTTGTCTAGAGCGAGGGGCTGCAATCTGGGAGGTCTACAATTCTGTTTCGGAGCTGCGGGGGGGGTACAACCTGTATCCCTAATCTCCAGTGGGATATCCATCCCAGCATTCACTGGTAAAACTGATTCACGTATAAGACGCACAAATATGTTGCGCATGGAAGAGACAGACGCTATTTACAAACTAATTCACAGATTTAGACAAGGGAACTCATAAAATTGGCCATGGAAAAGATGGAAATAGGCACAAATTTTCTCGAACATAGTGAAAAATTCGAGTATACTATCACATGGTCTTTTTCCATTACCGTTTCACATATCTAAGTCAGCCATTGCCAGACAAAAACTGAAAAAGTACGGTCTTGCAAGCTTTTATATAACGGCAAAACGGATGTCAACTCACCAACATTTGCTTCACTATCTGGGAAGTCGTATATTTTAATTTTATGATGTTGAAAGTCCGCGAGCAGGTTCTTTTTGAACTCTTTGCATTCCTCCGATGTCATGCAATCGGCTTTTCCTATTATTGGTATGACGTTGACCTTGTCCTGAATTCTGCGCAGGCATTCTGCATCGATGTTTTTCAAATGGTGTCCTGAAACGGTTGGGAGGAAGGTACCAGGTTACGTAAGACGAGGAAACATCGCTGTAATTATAAACAGTTTGCTATCCTGTTTGATCTTCCAGCTATGATTTCTCAAAATGTCAGAGAACGAATCGAAAGATTCAACTTAACAGTTTTTAGATTTTGCCGGACAACACGCTTATTGTAAGAACACCAGTTAAGATTTTCGCTGCACAAGTTCCGAATTAGCGCAAGTCACGCTCTGTGGCACGTCTAAATAATTAGCCCAATTGAATGGAAAAATACAAAGTTATAAAGCATAAAGGTAGTGGCGGCTTCAAACTCAGCGTTGGTCGATGATAGAAAATGGTTCACCACGGCTGCCATGCCCACTTTCAAGTAGTCAGATCGGCTAAAGTAGGTGGCGTGAGGTCACATAGAATTATCATCGTATGCACTAGTTTCTGGTGCACTGGCAGAATTATTATCGAAAGAATTATTATTGAAAAGAAATGAGGACTGAGCATATGAACTGAAAATCATGCATCTTGAAGTACGACAGAAGTGCCGCCGGTGACAACATCTATCTCAACAGAGACGCATAATAGAAGTGAATGTGCGAGTTCCTGGAAGCAGTTTAGAAGAAGAAAAAAGATCGCATCTCCTTCTTCTAGAGACGCATTACGTTTGTAACAGAAAGTGAAAAACGGTGCATCGGTGAGTCGGTCATATAAGCCTCCGCGAAAACGGAAGTCACCGCATTATCGATACGGCAAGCACTCCTTGTACATCCCTTAACTCTCTCTCTCATTATCAGCATTATCAACCTGCCATCCATCAGGGCGGCTATAACTGACAGCCCCACCACGGCACTCGACTATGTAGCTTCCACAATAAGCTCCTCCAGCCTCCACCGCCTTCAGTCAGCACAGAACGGTGCCCTCCGCA